AGCCCTATGACTATGCATATCTGCAGAAAGGCAAATAAATATCCTTTGAGATCTTTGTGAATGGAAGCATTTATGTTAGTTTGTGAATAATGAGTAGTGCATGAAATAAGAATGACCAAAATGTAGTATAAATAATATGAATATGCAAATAATGAACATGCAATTATGTACTGAAAGCTCAGTTTGCCTGAAAGTCACTGTGGTAAATTATGTTCAGTTACTACAATGCGGACACACCATTCAGTTAATAACAAAAGGAATTGTTGCCCCTTTGTCAGCTCTGTCTCTCTGATGTCTGACCTTGTAACTTAATAATCTGTACTTTATTAATCACATTCACTCAGTTAAGCAGTGGGCAGACACCAATCCAGTGCCTGGGGAGCAGTGTGTAGGGACAGCACCTTGCTCAGGGTAGCCGTTCAGTGGACTTGAACTCCCAACCTTCTGATCATGGGGTCACCGCTCTACCTACAGAGCTGTTTCTGCCCCCTATTTATTGCATTCATTGTTTCTTTCTGTTTCTCTGTCTTCCAGGATGATGCTGGCGTCTTTGGTCGTTTTAATCCTGATAGCGGTTTCCGGCTACAGTGCTCTGTTCTTCTGTTGCTTTGCCACAGATTACTATGGACTCTGGTTACAGACATACCATCGCAAAGACCTGACCTTTCTCAGAGTACTGGTAGGACACAGTCAGTGTGAAAATTTCTTTGATTTTTGCATATTCGTCACACTTTAGTGTTTCAGATCATCAGACAAATGTTTATATTAAAATACCCATGGCAAATATGTTTTTAAAAAAAAGAAATTAGGAAGGGGGCAAATACTTGTTAGATGAGTGTAAGCTCTGTCCCCAAAAGGCAATAGTAAGAAACTGTTTGTCTCATTTTCTTTTTTTCAGGTCCAAAATGGTTTGGCTGTCTACGCTACATGGACTTCTATCGCCTCTCTGATCAATTTCTCTGTAGTTCTCCACCTGTGGGGTGTGGATAAGAGCACGGCAGCAACTGCGTCACTGTGCATCCTGTTTGCAGAGGTGGTGGCATGGTAAGCTCTGATTGGATGAGGTTCAGGCACAGGGATGTGGGAGCTAACAAGAAATTACCTTGAAGATAATTTCTATGATCAGGGAGACAGAAGAAAGTCAAATATAGATTCACCAGTTAAATCTGATTTTTTTTTTT